AGTACAAGAAGGATAGGAGTTAGTTCTTTGAATGTTTGGGAAAATTTCCCTGTGAAGCCATCCAGTCCAGGGCTTGACTTTAAACTTCTGACCTCCAGAACTTTAAGATAATAAATTTATGTGGCATTAAGCCACCACTTTCGTGGCTATTTGTCAGAGCAGCAGTAGGAAACTAATACACAGCAGTTAAAACCCAAAGCCCCAGAAAGGCAGCAAGTGGGGATCTTTCAATTCCAACTGCAGTTGCTCCTGGGTAGGAAGACACTTGATAGTGTTAGACAATGACTTACAGAGAGCAGCATGCATTTCTGAGTAATGGGAGAAAGACTTCCAGGAAGCATTCAACTTGGGTATTCATTCCTCCCTGATACAAGTTAAAATGTATTGACTCCTTAGTATATACCAGACCTTGCAGTATGTGCCTGACGTATTCTACCTTATGTAATTCTCAAAACAACTCTTTGATGCAGGCACAATTTGTGTCACCATTTTGCAGATGTAAAAACTGAGGCTCAGATAGGTGAGGTTGTGTACCCAAGCAGGAAATCTGGGATTTGAACCTGGGCAGCCTGACTCCAGAGCCTGAGCTCAGAACCACTATGTCATACTCTGCACCCTGTGCAGAGAGTTGTCCTCCTGAATGAACTACCTGGGGATGTCCACCCGGTAGCAAGTGGGCACAGAAAGGGCTGGATTTCTAGACCTGCAAACCATGAACTCCATAAAACCTAGACAAGACATTCTCTGGGCTTTGAAGACTATCCTTAATGATCTAAATGTCCAAGAATATAAAGGATTGATTGACTAAATCATGGTTCATCAATACAATGAAACACTAGGCAGCTTTTTTAAAGGATGATGTAGATCTATACTTATTGACATGAAGAGATGTTCCTCATACATCATTAAGTCTAAAAAGCCAGTCACTAAACAGTATACACAGTATGAACCAACAGAGAGAGAGGGGGGAAATGCATATACAAAACCATTAGCAGTGTTTATTTCAGAAGCATGAGAATACAGGTGATTTAATTTTCCTTCTGGCTTATCTATTTTGTAAATTTTCCACAATAAAAAGAAATTGCTGGGACGTTTAAAGGTGGGGAAACTGAACTTCAGTAATTACAAGCAAAGACAAGAATGTGCAATGACCTGGCTGGCGTAGCTCAGTGGATTGAGCACAGGCTGCGAACCAAAGCATCGCAGGTTCGATTCCCAGTCAGGGCACATGCCTGGGTTGCAGGCCACAGCCCGCAGCAACCGCACATTGATGTTTCTCTCTCTCTCTTTCTCCCTCCCTTCTCTCTCTAAAAATAAAGAAAAAAAAATCTTTAAAAAAAAAAAGAATGTGCAATGGTTTAAAATGTTATGAAGTATCCACTACTTAGCAGACCGAGTGCTAATAAATTTATATAAATTTAACCCTTCTTACAACCCAGTAAGGTAAGGACTGCAGTCTCCATTGTTTCAGATTTTTTAAATGGAGGCTCAGAGAGATTAAGTAGTTTCCCCCCAGAGTCACCCAAGCTGAAGGCATTAGGCTGGGATTTAACCCAGATCTGTCTAGCTGCAAGGCATATACTCTCTATACTACGTGACTCTGTAAACTTTTAACTCCAGAACCATGGGGTTTCCAGGCAAGCAGGGACACAGAAGGGATCAAAGTGGATCAGAGAATGTTGCAGAAAAGGAGAAGAAGATTAGAAAGGGCAAGAGAACAGTATCCCCCCTGTTCCGGTACTGGGAGCAGGGGCTCTCAGCCTCAGCACTGCTGACATCTCAGGCAGTAATTCCTTGTTGAAGGAGAAGGGGAGAGCGGTCTGTGCATTGTAGGGTGGGCAGCAGCATCCCTGGCCTCTGCCTACTGGCTGTAGTAGCACCATCCTAGTCGTGACCACAGAAAAAATCTTCAGACATTGACAAATATCCCCTGGAGGGTCAACTCCCCCTTGGTGAAGAACCACTGCCCTGGAGAATTGCTACCCCCAGAATGACATGGGGTGGTCCTAGAACATTGTTTATTATTTGCTGTATATATTCACATTTCAGCCAACCACACAGTTCATTCCACTGATCTGTCCTCCTCAACTAATCCTTTAGTCCTTATATGCTGACATTGTTAAAGACAATGTCCTAATTGGTGAGCCCCAAGTGGCATTTGTGGCTATTATCCCGATCTCCAGAGAGGACAGATAGTTCCGTTGCCTTTCAGAAGGGCCCCACAATGGGCCTTCTGTCACCCTTTTGTGGGGGTTCATCCATGCCCCTGCACTCCCTGAATTAAAAGCTAAGGGAGCTGGTTTTCTCTTGTAAACACCAAGCTGTGCAGTCATTACAAGCTTGCTTGGAGATAATCAGGGCTGACACTTGCTGTACGCACACGGTTTATTGGAGACCACCCACAAAGTCGACTCAACGCAGAATGACACTACTAAGTAATCTAATCCCAAAATGTAGATTTCATTCCAACAAATTGCACACAAGTGGTCTCCTGCTGGTTTAACTGTTGCCTGGAAAGGCAAGCCCAACTGCATCCAGGGCAAGTATGTTAGTGCAAAGCATCCAACCCATAAACAGAATGCAAATGCCATGCCTGGAATCATAAACACTGAAAGTCTCAGAGAGAAATAAACACCTTTTGTATTGAATTAAAATATAATTAGGAAGTGGGTAGAATATACCTACCACCTTGGTCCTAACTCATTTCCCCCTTTGAATCAAACACCGCAAACAGAATAAAAAGATGAAGAAATTAAGTGTGTTTCCCTTTGCATCAAATCTCTTACAAACTGTTTCCTGTAGGGCCATATGTTCTAAGATGAACCAAAATTAGAGAGAATCAGCATGCTGACTTTATCCGCACTCAGCAAGTATGTATCTTCAGTTCCAAAATACACAGTCCCCAACCTCCAATACAAGGGCATTCTGTTTATCCTGCACTATCCCCCCACCTTAAAATTAGCTATATAATAAAAAATTGATTTTTTTTGAGAACTAAGATTTTTTTTAAGTCTTACAGGGTGCAGTGTGGCCATAAGTTTAATATGAGCCAGCAGTTTGCCAAGGTTGCCTATTGTCAGGGTTAGTCTCTCTTAGGACGCATAATAGAGTTCACGGCTCGAGTTAAAGGGGGCGAGAGTCTTAAGGTCAGGTGATTTGACCTCAAGTGGAGAACAGCCGTTCTCAGGTCGACATTGAGGTGGACATTGGTGCTGTCTGGGCACCTGCTCTGAGTAGTAAAATCTGACCCAGGTACTTCATCAGAAACAGGCAACTCAGGTGTCTACCAGCCCCCAAGTGACGCACACCTTAGGGTGATTCATCGCCCTAAAGGCAGGCACTATGTTGTACTCCTCTTCTGTCTCCGCACCACCACCACAGCGCTGAAAACTGTGTTAGGTGCCTTGTGAGTACTCCACAAATGCCTGGCGGGTTTTCCTAGAAACCCTTGCTGAGACTATATATCTCTACATTAGGAAGCTAAGTAGGGGGGAAAAAATAAGTATGTCATTTAGGTCAGTGATTTTCAAACTGTGGGTCACAGCTGATTAATATCATGTTAAATTCTTAGTCAGTCCACAGCCAGTAATTTTTTAAATGAAAAAGAAGATAAACCCTCAGGTTGCCACTCCCTTGCTTTAACAAACTCTGTTGGCAACCCCCAAAATCCAACTGTCTGTACACTCTAGACCACATCCCCAACAGTTGACTGTGGCTGGAAAAACTCAAACCACCAACACCCACTAGTCTTAATGTCATTTATTTCTGTGACCTCCACTGGGTCCTGATGCTGCCTGGCCATCACACCTCTCTCCCTCAGCCACTCACCCGTCCCCCTCCTAAATGACACGGCTCTCTCTCTCAGCTCCCAGCGCCTCCTCTCCCATCCCCACTCTCAGCGGCTAACCTGGCTTCCCACCTCACTGAGACACTAGAAGCACGCAGAAAAGAACTGCCACAGTCTCCCGCACTCACGTCTACCCGCCCACCAGCATCTGCTCCCATGAACTCGGCCTTCCTCCCCCTACTATGGGCAGACTATCCTTGCTCCCGTAGAAGGCCAGCCCCTGAACTTGGACCGTGGATTCCACCAAAGGACATGGCTCCAACAATGCTCCCTTCTCTCTCCTACATCATCAAAATTTCCCTCCTCTGTTAGTTTACCCCTCATCGACATGTTATTTCTCCCATCTTTAAAAAAAAACAACCACCTCTTCTCACTCTATTTTCCCTCTGATTACTGCCCCGTTTCTCTGCTCCCCAACATAATAAAACTCCTTATAAGAATTGTCTGATGCCACTTTGCCAACTTCTCTCCACTCGTCCTCTTTTACACTCCCGCCTATCAGATGATTAGCCCCCCGTCACTCCACCAAAATTGCTCATCAGAGTCACCAGTAACATCCACATGGCTAAACCCAATTGTTAACACCCAGTGCTCGTCCTATCTGTCGTTGGACTGGGGTGCTTCCTTCCTCCGCCTCAAAACACTTGATTTCAGGCCACCCCACTCTTCCGGTTTTCCTCCTACCTCACGGCCATGCCTTCTCACTCTCCTTCATGTGCTCTTCCTCATGTCCCCATCCTCCCTCCGCTGGAGGACACAGGGCTCAGCATTGAGGTCTCTCCTCTGCATGCCCCATACCCCCTGTGATCTCATTCAGTTCCAGCAGATGTTGATTACACACTGACAATTCCCAGAAATTTGTGTCCAGCCAGAACCTCTCTCTGAGCTCCAGGCTCATAGATTCAAATGCCCAACCACCCTCTCCACAGGGATGTCTAATAGACTTACCCAATACTGATACCTCAATACTCTTCCAGCCCAAGATCTGTTCTTCTGTAAAGCCTCTCCCATCTAGTGACTGGCAACTCGGCCCTTCTAGTCACTCAGGGCAACCCCCTAGGGGCATCCTTTCCTCTCTTTCTTTCACACTCTGAGTCTGCCTTCAAAATACACCCAGATCCAACAGCTTCTGACCGCTTTCAGCAACACCTCCCTTGCTGTCTATCCCTAATGCAGCCGACACAGTGAGTCTATGGAAATATATGTCAGCTCAAGTCACTCCTCTGCTCATTCACCGCTACATGAGGACACAGCCTTAACAGGAGTCTTCGACAATCCTGCCCTCTCCTGAACGAGGGCTGCAGAGATGCCACTTGTTCGTGGCTCACTGAATAAATATCGTTGACAGGGACAATCTGTTTATTAGGCACTGTTACAGCCAGCTAATCATTTCTTTCCTAAACAACCAGCAAATCCTCATCCTGAAATCCTTTTGACTAATTCAAGTCAGGTGTGATCCCGTGACCTCCAGGTGAGCAGTGGGGTATCCAATTTGCCACCCCGGAGCCATCCATCCCTCTGGCTTTGGAGTCCTGACGTTCCATGATAGTCCCTTCCCTGACGGACCTCCAGTCACCCAACTCCATGCAGGTGCACACCTCGTATCTGGAGCTGCAGCAGCTCCACGCAGGTGCACGCTTCATAGCTGAAGCTGCAGCAGCTCCTGCTGGTATGGGTACAGCTGTTTCCTTTCATGCGCCTCTTTGTGCACTGACATATCTGGAAAAAAAAGAGGGGGAGCATATTGAATTGCAGGAGATGAACCAGCTGGCTTAAGACAGAGGAGAAAGAAAAAGATGACATGGTCAATGAGACACTTGTCATGAGACTATAGCTCCAGCAATCCTGGTCCTTGCAGGGTGTTACACAGTGTTAATCTTGCCCCCGAGATATGGATTAAGGAGATTCTGTCCATAGAGATGCATGCTTTGCAAATAGCCCTCCAAAGCTGGAATGCAGAGACCACTCAGGAGCTCAGCATCTGAACACTAACACTATAGCTCATTCCAGTTTCAAATTCACTTTGCTTTCTTTCTTGTTGTATTTTTTATTTTTTCCAGGTGCAGAGACTGGTTACGTGGCCACAACATACTCTTACTTAACATCAGCGCACGCTGCTGGAGGACTCAGTTAGCTAAATTGGCACCAGGACCAATGTGTGACTTTTTGACCTTGTAATTGCAAATACGGAGCTATTTGTTTTTTCTGAAGTGTCTAAAACATGTGGGACAGGTATAAAGTTTCCACATATGCCAACCTCTTTGGTTCGTTTTGATCTAAACAAACTGCTTCCCACAGCTGGGCCAAGAATATTCCTTCCAGTCCCATCTTTTCGAACAGTTCAAGCTTGGAGAGTTCCAACATGGAATTTTGCCATGTCTCGTATGTGGCAAAATCTTAAACCAACACTTCTCGGTGCCAGAAAAATAGCAACCTAGCCCAAGAATAAATCGAAGCTACATTACTCTTAAACAAGATTATTAACATGGTAGAAAAGAGACCGTTTTGTTAATGATCAAACATAGAGGCTTCAGCCAATTAAAGCTTTGAAACAAATGACCACAGAGACTCCCTCACTGGCATTAACTATTACAGCACATGACATTTGAAATCTTTTTTTTCTCCTAACTATAGGAATTGAAAATTAAAACAAGTTGCCAGTGTAGCATTTAATCTTTTCAGCCCAAAGTGCACTTGCTCCAAATTTGCAGAGCCTTGAACTTAAACAGGACAATACCTTCCACCGCCCAAGTTAGCAAAGCAGAACTTGCAGGGAACTTCCTAATCCAATGTCTGCGAGTGACAGAAACTGAGCCCTGGCAAAGCTACAGGAAAGGGAGTCAGGTGCTGGAATAAAGCAAGCTCCCGACAACCAACCTTGATTCTTGTTCTGTGTCACCTACCCCTCCGTCCAGCTGGCTCAGTTCGTCAACAAAAGCTAAGCAAGTGACCAAGGTCTCTGTGGGCAAGTTTACTCAGCTCCGGCTTTCTGTCCACGATGACACCCTTCAGCTGGTCGGCCACCTCAAACTGCAGGCCTCTTCTCTCCACGGAGCAGCCAGCTGAGGGAGGTGGAGGGGGGGAATTCTCCACCTTCGTTAAAACAGCTCACATATTTCCATCATAGATTGGAAGCTTGGCGTCATCAAAAAGTATGAAAAGAGAATGTTACTATGGATTCTAAATGGTGAACGAAATATGAAGTAAATATCTTATTCAAAAGAGGCCCCATTTTTCATATTTTCATGCAATAGCTATATGTTTTGTACTTAACAATTGTTCATGTTTGATATCATACTAATAAACCCTTGCATTTTATAGGGATTATAAAATGCTCATGCATGTTAGTATTTTTAATACTATTAGCTGGTAAGGTAAACATTATTACCCCACCTTACACATTAAAAGAAGAAGAAGAAGAAACCAAAGCTCAAAGAGACCAAGTCGTTTTTTCAAAGCCATAGTGTGAAGCAATTAGAGAAACACCCAAGTCCGATCCCAGGTGCTCCCTTCTGCAGGTACTATTTCCTAGATGAGTGGCTTTGACACCTATCCTTGCAGAAATACCAAAAGTTCACAGTTGCAGCTCCGATCAATCCCATGTGTACAGAGAAATGGAAGGGAAAATATAAACTCTTCCCTCCCTGTCCTCACCCCCAACCCAACCAACACAACTATGTGCCTCTGACTATGACCAAAAGAACCCAACAGTCCACTGAACTAGCCCTTCCCACCGGCCACTTAAGGATCAGGGGCCTGAGAACGAACACTAGTCGCTACGCTCGTCCCTCACTTCACTGCCCTTACACTCCCCAGAGTAGAAGCCCCCGGAGGGCAGGCCCAGGCCCTACTTGCCGTGTACTTGCCTGCTGTGCCTGGCAGAGTTCATTTCACTTACCAACCGCTTACGGAATATCCGCTCCTCATCAGTCCGGAAAAGTAAGGGGAGAGCAGGAAGCATGGCCTGGACCGCCTTGTTTCCCCGAGAATCACCATCCACTACATCCTCCAGCTGCTCAGGCTCCTCTGAGAGAACACGCGAGAGGGGACCCCATGGCCACGCGGGCAAAGATGGTGGTCCATGTCCAAGCACAGCCTCCAAGTGTTGAAAGGCCCTATTATTTTCCGTGTAAAGGACTGCATGCACGCAATGCCATTTGCTGCTGAACGAAATAGTATATAAAGAGACCCAGGCTTGGACTCCACCACGGAGGGCAGTTCCGTTCCTGGGACCGACCCCACAGCACTTGCTCAGAATGCTGAAAGACTGTGGGTGGACAGGGCACGCAGGTACAAGCTGCAGAAACCAGAGTTAAGGAGAAGAAGGAGTCTTAGGGGAGGCCACCAATGAAAGCAGAAAGGGAAAAGATGTGACACCAGGCAGCCTCTCCTTTCTCCTGCCCATAGCAGACGCCATGAATGGGCACGGCACCCCTCAGCCCAGCCAGGCGTCCTGACCCCCCTAGATGCCACACCTAAGTGGCCGCCATCTTTCAGCTGGGATTGGCAAACAAGAGGTCACCTACTTGCCATCTTTGATTAAATGTATTGGGGTGACATCGGTTAGTGAGATAATATAGGTTTTAAGTGCACAATTCTATGATACATCACGTATTGACCCCCTTCACCCTTTGCTAGCTCCCCCCCTCCCCTCTGGTGACCACCTGCCATCTGGGTGTTTAAGAGAATTTTCTCTTGCTAGAAATCAGCAGTTCACGCGTTAGGCCTACACCACAGGGCTTCCTCCTATGCCTCCGATGCCAAGATTCCCGACATTGGGTTAGCACTCTAATTCTGACCTCCAAGACCCTTGACCTCAACTCTCAGTTGCTAGCTGCCACTTCCGTGTCCCCTGGCCGCCACACCCTCCCTCGGACCCTGACCTGTAAGCAGGGACTCTGACCTGGGCCTGGTGGCCTGTCCCAATCTCTGGTCCCTGTTCTGCCTGGAGGCTTTTTGTCATCCCTCCTCTGACTTGAATTCACCTGTCCGCCCCCGGGGCTCGGCAGAAAGCACCCTGACCGGATCAGGATCCCTCCCCGGCCGCATGACAGTCGCCCAAGGACGGAGGTGGGCACGGCCGAAGCTCAGGGAGGAGGCAGCCGAGGGTTCAGGGTTCGCAGACTCTCCCTCGACGGTGGAGCTTACCTGAAGGCTGGGCCCTCTCTTTACCCCTTCAGACAAGGGGCAAGATTCCAGTCCTGGCTTTTTCTGCTGTAGGGCAACTTTTCTGCCTTCAAGGTAAAGAGCAGATGTTTCCTAAGCTCCCAGGGATTTATCGGCCTTGTTCGCACCCTCAGCAGACAGGTCATTCCAGGTTTAATTTATACGGCGCTACTGCACAGGTAGGACAGTAACTCTCGCTCCATCCCAAGTCACAAAAGGGCTGAGTAACAGAAACCCAGGACGCGCTTGGCCAGGCCTCACTCTGCGTCGCCGCACGCTCACTTCCCTACCTGCGCCCCCCTCACATTACGTTTCACGTAGTCTGTGCATCGGAACAATACAGTCAGCCTCAGGTGTGCAACACGCCGCCAAGAGGCTCCGGGGCACGGCGGGGAGAGCATCAGTCAGCACGCCTGCGTTCTGGACACAAAACCCACCTCTGCCAACAGCTCACCAGCCAAATCGGTTCCCTTCTCCAGGCCTCAGTTTATTTATCTGTAACCTGAGGGGTGGGGGAGGTGGTCATCTTAATGATTTATAAGATTCCCTTCCAGCTCTGACATTCTATGAAACTCAAGTTTACTTGCAGAGGCGGGCTTTCGACCTCCACTCAGATTGGACCAGCCACCCTTCCCACAATGCCCCTCTGCCACTACTCCCCCACCATTTAGGCTTCACCGACAGAGAGAGAATCATTCCCAGCTGCTGGCGGCCTCATCCAGCTGCCATGGGGGGAGTTTTGTTACGCCTGTTTCGCAGTGGGTCATGTCAAGTCAACGTGTATTTGGTAAGTGCCTCTGACAAGCCCAGAAAGAGGGTGGAGCCCTCCGGGGCCTCGTTGACTTCATCTGTGAAATGAAAGGCTTACACTGGCTGGGCTAAGGAGCCTCCCAGCTCTGAAGTCCTGGGAGTCAGGGTCCCACTGGGAGAAGGCAGGCCACACCCTAGGATCACCAACCGCAGCCCCACCCTGACGTGGCCCAGGCCCAGCTCCCGCCAAGCTCATGTATGTGTACCTGGGGCCGCACGTGATAGAACCTGTTCAGAGACTTGGGACTGTGGCACAAACAGTCATATCTCCAACCCTTCTCTATGGCCGAGTCTCAGGGCTCCCCCGCCCCAGCCCCCAGCTCTCTGGGCCCCTCTCTCATAAGTGGGGAAGTGGCAGATGCTTGTCTACATGATGTGATTTGAACAAAGTCCCCACACACCCCACAAAACCTCTCTCTTGCAGACCTGCCTGAAACCCTGATCACAGGGGTTCAGATTCTTTGCATTCAAGCATCTTGCTCCCAGAAGTTCCCTGTTAAATGCAAACATGCCCAGAAAAGTGGCCTGTGCTCAGGAGGGGGCTTCTTTTCCCCAGGCTACCCTCTCCCCATCCACGTTCGCCGGCTCCCGCAGCCTTTGCCCAGCCCTGCACAAGGGCCTGATGTGCACAAGAAGAACTCCCACCGAGAGAGGGACAAAACCTGCCTTGGTGAAGAAAAAAGCTACAAGGGAATGAGGATGAAACAGGCATGCTGTCTGACTTCCACCCTGACTTATTGCATGTCCTCAACAGCCAGCAAAACAAATGGCATGGCAAGGGGACTGAGAGAGGAAGAGAAGGATAAGGGACAGTGGAACGGTGGCATTCAGACACGCTGTATTATTAGGGTTTTTCGGGAATAAAAGTCCTCACTTATGAAAGTCGTGGAGCCCCACCGCTGTTTGTTTGGCTTGGCGGCCTGGGCCTCTTCTGAAATTACTGCACGTGTTTATTATTTAAATGTGAATGAATAGAAATTAATTTTGAGTGCAGAAATTTTGAGGGATAAGTGGAGATACACAGATGCAAACCACAGATAGACAGAATTAGCATTCTCCTCTCCCCCCACGGAAGCCAGAAGGAAAAAAGGCTTCATCCTGCATCGCGTAGGATGCAGGCCACGTGGAAGACGTTCCTGAGGAGTTGTTGAATCCCAAAGGGGGGATTAAAGGAAATTGTGAGAATGTTTCTTCCTTCTGTAAATATTGTCAAACAGAATCAGCTCCCATGTTTTATGACCTAAATTGTGACTCTCCTCCCCCGCAAAAATCCATATGTTAAAGCCCTAACCCCAGTATGGCTGATAGAGTTTGTAAGGAATTAAGGTTAAATAAGGTCATTGGGGTGAGGCCCTAATCTGATAGGATTGGTGTCCTTATAAGAGGAAGAAATGCCAAAGATCGATGGATCTCTCTCTCTCTCTCTCTCTCTCTCTCTCTCTCTCTCTCCCTCCACGCACAGAAAAGAGGCCATGTAAGGATACAACATGGACTTCTACAAGCCAAGAAGAGAGATGTCACCAGAAATCAAATTTTCCACCCCTCCATCTTGAACTTAAGAAAATAAATATCTATTATTTCAGCCACCCAGTCTGTGGGCCCTGGTTCCGGCAGCCCGAGCAGACTAACGCACTCCCGCCTGAGAGAAGGGGTAAACTGGGTCAGTCAACCAAGGGGGATAAACCACTTTTCTGGGCACTGGGCTGATGGAAGTCTACATGACTTCCAGTGGCCCCAGCAGGGGCGGGGCAACCTCCTCACAATACCTCCAGCCCACAGGTTCTAGAACCCATGTCCTTCTTTCTAAATTTCAGCCTTCAGAGATTTTAGAAATGTGCCTTTCGCAGACTGGGCAGGAGTCGTGCTCAGTATCTGGGGGAGGGAGGTGGTGAGTGAATGACTTTCTGTCTCCTGAATGTCACCTTAGCGGCAGCCCAGGAGCAGTGGCTCGAAGGCCAGACTGGACCTGTCGAGAAAAGCGTATAACACTATGGAGAAATTGGAAATAGCTATCATCCCTCACAAACAAACCCACGGAGGGTTTGAAACGGCTTCTTGAGCCAAAAGGGACAAGGGAAGAGTGTGGTGCGTTGGGGCAAGGACCATGTCTTGGGGTGGTTGTCCACAGGAAGCCCGAGGAGACAGGAAGAAGAAAATGG